AACGCGGGGCCCGGGACCGATCGGCCCCTCAGCCGGGCCCGGGCGGGTCCTGCCTCCCGCGGCTCAACTTTCCTGGCTTTGGCAATAGTTTAGAGGAAGACAAACCTGTTGGAAACGGGCCGGTGGCGAGAAGGCGCGCTGCCGTACCGCTGTGATCGTGATTTGAAAGGTCGAAATGATTAAACGCCGGCTTAAATTTTAGCAAAGCGCTTGGCTTCCAAATATGAAAAAAAACCTCCATAGTCGAGAAAAATATTGGCAGATAACATTTTAGTAGTGTTGACAGGAGTACCTTTGGGGACAGCGAAGCTAAACAAGTGCCAGTCTTTTAATTGTACAGCAGATAATGTAGCACGTACAGTTTTGTAGCTGTGCAATACATGTGGCTGTCCTGTGCAAGTTTTGGTGAAAACTTTAAAGCGAATACTGTTTATGTAGGCTTTGCTTTAAAGGTTTGTTACAGTTTTTCTGGCTAGCTGTCAAACTCTTTGATTCACTTGTTTCACACTGTGATGCTGTGTGTCCTGTGTGACTTGTAAACAGGATTTATTTAGAGTGGATGTAAGAGTAAGTTCAAGAAGATGGTATTTGAATGGGTTTTTTTGATAGTTGATGAAAGCAGCTTTATAGGCTGGCTAGTAGATGTGAAAGAGTGCAGGAACAAGGAGGAGAAAAATGTAAAGTTATGGTTTGAGATAAAAGGGTCTCTTTTGAACTATTTAAAAGATCTCATAAAAAAAGATACAAAGATGGTAGTATCACAGTGCTTACACGCATTAAACTTACCTCTTCTTGAAGCATGTTGAATGAGATGCTTTTCATTTCTTTTCTTGTAGTAAGAGTCCAGGATGAGTTATGCAGAAAAACCTGATGAAATCACGAAAGATGAATGGATGGAAAAACTTAATAACTTGCATATCCAGAGAGCAGACATGAACCGCCTTATCATGAACTACCTTGTTACAGGTAAAAATGAGTAGCAGTGCTAGGAGGCTGTTAGATGCATGTTGCTTATTTCGTCAAGACAGTTTAGGCTAGACTATGCTATAGGTGGAGTGAAATTAAGGGCTTTAAGGATTCAGTGCTTGCTGTTGGCTTCTCTTAGCAATGTACGACCGCTCTTGTGTTCTCTTCAGTAGAAACAGACTAAGATTCAGAGACCAAGCAGTTATCCTGCCACAGAAGTGACATTTCTTAACCTTAACTCTTCTGCTAAAAGGTACAGAAAAGAAAGTATTTTCTGGAATGCTGTTAACAAATACGACCCACTTCTGTATGACATCCTTTTTTGTGCCATTAAAAGAGAGTTCAGGACATGTTGCAGTAATTAAATAGTACTCTGAAAGCTGCACAGAACAACTACTAGAAGCAAGTTTCAACTGGCTAGAAAAACTCTGAAAGGGCACTCTTGTCAAAAATAGTTTGAGATCACAAATATTAACCTCTTCAGTATATAGCCTAACTTTACACTTAGAACAATCAAAACCCCTTGGAAATTGTCCCTAGCAATTATGGTGCATGCCATCAGAGTAAGCTATGCTAGGGCGGAGGCATCTGTATCCGATCTACACCCCTGTTTACATTGATGTGTAGGTGAAGTGTCTTGGATGAAGGAAGAGCATCTTAATGGCATAAATAATTTTTGTGTGTATGAAAGTGTGACTTAGGATTTAAAATAGCTGTTGCACCTATTAAAAAAAATAGTACGAGAAAGGAAAATTAACTTTCTGTTTCTTGTCAGTAACACTGCTAGGTCTGCGTAAACAGATTTAGGGGCTGGAGGGATTAGCAAAACCACCCAAATTTTGAAAATGTGATTTTTAAAATCCCATTTTGTAATAAGTACGCTGCTCTATTTAAGTATAAAACAAGCTTTCAAGTTAGGAGGTATTGGACTACAAGTTGCACGCATCCTTAGAGAACGAGGGCACTTGAGTTAAGAATGAATTAAGCGTGTACTGTCAGATGTCTTTTCCATAAATCCCTGTTTAAATAGATAGTTTTTCAGAAGTTCAGACTTACTGCCTGTGCATTTTGGGGGTTTAAACATTACTCGAACCTTTCCATTTAAGCTAATTTTTTTAAGTGTTTCATAAAATACATTTTATAGGATAAATTGTTTCTATTTCAGAGGGCTTTAAAGAAGCAGCAGAGAAATTTCGCATGGAGTCTGGAATTGAACCCAGTGTTGACTTAGAGACTCTCGATGAAAGAATAAAAATTCGAGAAATGATATTGAAAGGACAGATTCAAGAAGCCATTGCGTTAATAAACAGCCTCCATCCAGAATTGCTAGATACAAACAGATATCTTTACTTTCATTTGCAGGTAAGGACAAGTGGCAAACTTCAGCTTTGTTTTAGAGGTTGCTGAGAGACTGGAGAAAGTAGTGCAGATTTTACGAGTGTGTTGGGAGGTTTGCGACTGAACGTGGATGCAATTTCAACTGTTTGTTCTTGGCGTCATTTTGTAGCAACTGGAAACTTTGTGGCATGGTGCAGAAACCATCATATACAATGACTATTGTGAAAACTTAGAACAGCAGCAGCGGCCTGTGACTTTACCAACTTCCAATTACTGTTAGTCTGAATTTCTAGTAGTTCCTTTAGTAACACATCTTTTCAATACCTGTTACTGAAAAGCGTTGGGTTACCTTTTTCAGTAGGTTTTGTAGACAAGTCTGCTGCTCCTTGTCTCGCACGTGGAGAAGAATGGCCCTCAAACTGCCAAATTATCGATTAATGTCTGTCTCAAATTACACACTAATGTCTGAAGATTACAGTTGTGAAATACTGAGGATTTGTTAATTTGTTTAGCTAATATTGCTGTGTCTTTCATATGTAGCAGCAGCATTTGATTGAACTGATTCGGCAGCGTGAGACAGAAGCAGCTCTGGAATTTGCTCAGACCCAATTAGCAGAACAAGGCGAGGAGAGCAGGGAATGCCTGACAGAAATGGAGCGTACGCTGGCTTTGCTTGCCTTTGATAATCCCGAGGAATCACCATTTGGAGACTTGCTTAACATGATGCAGCGACAGAAGGTAGTCCTTTTTCAAGAGGAAATTGATGTCTTTTATTCGTATGTGGTGAAAATAGTGTCCAAATATTTTTGAAATGCTTAGAAAAAATTTATATAGTGGTATGCAAAAGAACAGAAGTATTTCTTAAGCAAGATGCAAAAAAAAAAAAATGGTGTTAATGTATTCAGCTTCTTGGCTCTCTTCCTTGTTTTTACCAGGCTCATAGTCTATGGAGCTTTGTCCTGACCATGTTCTGAGGAATTAGCACGCTAGGTGTGATCTTTTCAATGTCTGTGTCACATTAGCAGTGTTAGTCATAGGAAAACTATTACTGAACTCCACTGTTTCTTTTCCAGGTATGGAGTGAGGTTAATCAAGCTGTTCTAGACTATGAAAATCGCGAATCAACACCCAAGCTGGCAAAGTTACTGAAACTACTACTGTGGGCTCAGAATGAGCTGGACCAGAAGAAAGTGAAATATCCCAAAATGACAGACCTCAGCAAGGGGACGATTGAAGAACCCAAGTAAAATGTGTGCAGATGGACATCAAACAATCTTAGTACTGCACAGTATACATTTATATCAGTCTGTGACTGAAATATTTTTACTACAGTACAGCACTCAATTCAGATTTTTCAATGAACATCTAATTTGAAGGGAGAAAAGTCCCTTTTAAATGCTGCAAAAACTGCATTGAAAGGCGCTGTATCTCTTTGAAAGTCTGACTTAGGCTATGCACTATAATACATTTTTAAAAAACAATTTAACAGGACAGGAAAAAATAGCATTTTTAAAAGTACAGAACTCGAGCTTTCTAATTGGCTACTGATGCCTAGTTTAGTGGCCAGTGAGTTAATACGGAGTTATATTGGCAACTATTCAGTTAAGTTTAACTGTCTCCTGTTTGAAATGTGTATATAGAACAGTGAATATTTTCTACCTTTAAGTTATAGCCAGATATACATTCCCCTTAAAAGTAACTCGTCAAGTTTTCATCTATAAACTTTGCAGTAAGGTCAACCTTTTGCTTAGGAAATAGTGTACAAACTTGTAAATCATAATTTAAGGACTTTTTTTTTTTTCTTTTTTTTTTTTTTCTTTTCCTTCTTTCTGACTTCTTGGTGCTTTATATGGTGAGAGCTATGTTCATAATGGATCAGTGACCCATCTTTTCAGGAGGAGGATTGTTGGAAATAAGTTTGGGTTTTTTCCTTAATTTTCCCAAATGACCAAAATGGCCCCCAAAGGCATTGAGGGTTTTTCTAAGAGGGGCCTTTCCCCCCTATATTAAATTTGCAGCTGTAGACACTACAGTGATTCTACTAAAGCTTTGAAGGCTACTGGATGTTTGTAAGCTGAAAGACTTGCTTGTCTTAGGAAATTAAGTGGGGGGAGAGATGCTCGTTGAAGCCTCTGATGCATCATCTTGTGCAGGATCTGCCTTCATGCTTGCAGAATAATAATTGTAGTTTTAGAGCTACTTGGGCTGTTTTTATGCCTTGAGCTGAGCAGAGCAGGGCTGTCTAAAAGCAGAAATTCCCTTTTTCTCAATTCTTCCGTACCTTTCTGAAGAGATGCAGTTCGTCTTCACCTGTATTTGTTTACTGACTGTCCTCACTCCAGTTAGGATTATAAGTTTACTGTTTAACATGTGAAGTCCAGACTTTCAAGTCAACAAATTGTGATCTTTTGGGTATGGGATGTTCTGGTTGACTCAGTTTTGCAGCACTGTACGCTGGTGTATATATCCAGCGGTAGTAAGCACTAATCTTGCCAAATCGATCTCTAGATTTTCAGGTCCATATATCAAGTTATTTGCTGAACAAAGACCGAGCGGATGGGTGAAATAGCTTAACATCGTGAGACACTGGCAGGTGTCACACCAGTCCCATACTGTACATAATCTAGTCTTGTATGGTAGATATTACCCTGTAGAATGAGACTTAGTTTTCACTTAATTTTACTGGAATACTTACGCATTAAACTGTATAAAGCTTTGCAGATACACCTGACTTACGGAAACTAACAAAACCTGTTACTGATTGCATTACTGTGAACACTGTTTACTTGTGTAGCTATTTTTTGTGGGGGGAAACCGTTGTTTGTTAAGCAGCTAATGGAGATGCGGAGCGCCAAGGTTAAGCTAGATGATGGATATAACAAAGTGATTTGTTCTCATTTATTCCTGATTGTTCTGTTCTCCACTTTGAGGCATTTGCAGTATGGAGGTCTTAAAGTTTTTACATAACAAACAAGCTATCAATAGCCCCCCAACTACAACAGCCGACTGGCTTTCCTTCGCCCAGGCTTGGTATTCTAACACCAAACTTTAACAGTTATGGGGGTTTTTTATGGTTTTTTGGTTTTATTTTATTTCTTTTTTTCCTTTTCTTTTCTTTTTCCAGTCGGCCTATGTCTAAAAACCATGTATAACTTTTAGTTTGTGAGAAACTGTATCGTTAATGTAACTTTGTTTAATAACAAACTGCAGAAACAAAACTGGAATAGCTCTAATTTCTTCATATGTAACTGATCAGCTTTTCCTCTGTTCTGGCACTTGTGTTGTTAGATCTCATCTAAAGCTTCTCCCGGATGAAGTGGAAAGTGGTGCATTTTTGTGGCATGACTAGCATTTTTCTCCATGAGAAATGCAGTATTACAGTCCTGGTTGAGAAGTTCACTGTACTTCTAGAACGCTACGTTAATTTCATAGAGTATTTGGGCAAAGATTGAGCATAGATTACTTGAATTTTCACTAGCTTGGTTTTTTTTCCATTAAAAAATAAACATGTTTTTTAAGGGGTTTAATATAAAATTAGTATAGAACTATTTCACTTTGTTTTTATGAACATGCCACATTGATAAGCAGCTTTAATCTGTAAAGTTTTTGGTAACTGCAAGAAAATATTCGAAAGCTATGCATTTTAGCGAAAGCGTAAAGGTAGTGATAATGGTACTTCTAAGGATCTTTATATTAGTGTATATAAAATAGTTTGCATATACAAATATAATATATAATCTGTTTGAAATATTCTTGAATGGTAGGGGCTGTGAAACATAATTTATGGAAATATTGTACACAGTAAACAGACCTCTCAGTACACGAATGAACTTTTTGTCATATGCATGAGAAATGTCTTATTTGGTGACTACTAATGAATGGGATTTTGTTAACCCATTTTTGTTAGATAACCACTTTAACAAGTATTATTAAATGCCACTCTGATCAGTTTGCTTTAGTGTAAAAATACATATTTTGTTCCACTTAATTTAGAACAATATGGAAATAACTTTTGTAAGAAGATCTGTTCCAAACTCAACGGTGGCAAACAAGTCTGGTAATTAAACGTGGTACACTACGCTCACTCCTCCACCCTTTCCTTTGTCGAAACCAAGTAAGGTTTTGGTTTTTTGGTTTTTTTTTTTTTCACTAACGCTATTGTCATGAAGAAGTTGGGTTGTAAAATATCCTGTCTTATACGCCTCTGCAGAAAGGCCGTGTATCAAGTGTGTTTTGATTAGGCTACAAATCTCCTTTTCTAAAACCTATCGCCTCCCTAATAACCGTTGTCTTCGCTGTTACCATGTTTCTTTCCTGCCCATCAAATCTAAGCTAAGCTGTGGTTGCTTCTGTTGTGCAATGGAGTCATTTGTGAAGGGTGGGGGATAACGGGTTTCCATGAAGATGAAGTACTGGTGGAGCTTTCTGAGAAATACTTACCGAACTGTTTAATTTTATATAGCTGGAAAAACAGAGGCTGCTGCATGGAAACTAACAGCAGAATTTTAAGTAGAGCATTTCCTCTCAAGACTTTTGAAGAGGCAAACACATACAGCTTGAAACCAGGTGAAGTACCTCTCTCTCTTTAAGATTAAACACTTTCAGCTCCTTCCACCCACGTTAAAAGAAAAATTGAAATGAATGTGGAGAGCACTTATGTAGCATTTAAGACATGTGAAATTACCTGGCAAGAATTCTGTCTCTACTCCTTGTACATATAGGGGAAGCCATTGCATTATTCTAGGGTGATTTTACTGTTTTTAATTTGTAAAATTTATGCTTTGTATGCTTGAGTATAAGCTTAAAAGCATTACTTAAAAAAATCCTTGACTAGTAGATGAGTGTTGCTTGACTTATTTCAAACCACTTTCTGTCCAAGTTCGTTACAAAGCTTATTAAATTGAGTTGGAGCGTGATCCCTGTGTGTCTTATCTTCACGGGTAACGGGGCCTCCTGCCGTCAAAAGCAGCCGAAAGCATCCTTGAGAAACTTACCTGAAAGAATAGAAAAGGGTATGGAGTCGTGTTTTGCCCTACATCTGCCTTTAGGCTACAGCAAGTTGAGACGGGTTCTGACCTGTGCCGTAGATCTCTCTTCCATGCAGAGGCGATGTCATAGAATCATTAAGGTTGGAAAAGACCTCTCGGATCAAGCCCAACCATCAACCCAACACCCCCATGACTGCTAAACCACGTCCTCAAGTGCCACGTCTACACTTTTTGAACACCTCCGGGGATGGTGACTCCCCCACCTCTCTGGGCAGCCTGTTCCCATGTTTGACCATACAAGAAATTTTTCCTAATATCCAACTGAAACCTCCCCCGAATCAACTTGAGGCCATTTCCTCTTGTCCTCTGGCCATGTCACACGTAGTTACAGCTGTGTCACACATAGTTACTGCTGTGTCACTGGTCAGTGTTTGTTTCTTCTATAAAGTTCCTTAACGAAAAGGGACAAGTGGGGTTCATAGCTGTTGCACGAGCAGCAGTGTCCCCAGCCCCGCTCCTCGGCTGCTTCGCTTCACGTGCTCAGCTGGGCAGAGACAAAACGCAAAGCTTATGAGTAGCACCCTCAAAAGGATTTGTATTTCTCAACGGACACGTCTAGGTGCCAGAAACTATTTTTATTCTGTTCCTCTCCCCTCCTGCCTTCATATCATCACGATAAGGACAAGATTGGCCAAAGTAGCAGTGGGCTGCATGTTGATACGATCGGGCACCTCAGAATGGGAAAGCCCTGTCATTCTCGGTCTCCCTCCTCATGTCAAACGGGGATTCCAACAACTCGCTGCTACCTTACACCCGCCTGGATCAATGTCTGTGTGACAGCTGCTGTTCACTCAAAAGCAGTCTCGGTTTGCCAACTCCTCTGATCCTTTGCTTCTTTTTCAGCCTGTTGCTGTCTGCGGCAGTTTTGCAAAGTTGCGTTACTTCGCACTAGAAACCGTGTGCGTTTTCTTCAGGCCGTGGAGAAGCTGCATGGAAACTGCTCTTGGTTAGCAGGGAGCTTTCCAGCCGCAGCTGGACTGTCCTTTTGGGAGACAACAACTGTCCTTTATGGAGTGTGTGCGCCTGTTTCTCCTTTCACATCCCTTCAGGATTTGGTCTTGATCTGTGCTTAACTTCACAAAATCTTCAAATAATACAACCAGTGTCTGGATAAACTTCAGGCATAGCAAATGCCCGCTCAAATATTAACCCAATAATCTTTTGTTTGGTTTAATCTTTTGACAGATTGAGCTGAACACAGGAAGAACTAGAGGAGATTGTGTTCTTGCGTAAGATTATTTTCTTGAGTCTGCACTTGTCTTCAGAACTGATTCCATTTGCCATTTAATCATCTCGGTGGGAGCTTTGCTTCTAGGAAGTTATGCGGCAGTAAAAGGGGCAACGCCTGTGTTTTTACTTTTTAAACTTTTTGATGTGCATGGGATGGATGTTAAAACACTTTAACTGCAGCTATTTTTGACAGCGAAACTAGCTGCTTAGGTGAGAAGCAGATCAGTCAAAGAAGGTGTTCACTGAAGAGGTGACGCTGAGCAGTGCAGGGAGAGGAACTGAGGAGTACGACAGATAAAGCTGACTTTGTGCGACGTGCTTGATTTCCACACTGAATCATAATTTCAGTAAGTTAGGAGCCGATGTTGCAGCGTCTGTGCTGGAGGTGCGTGCATCCCGCGGCAGCGAGACTGTATTAACTGGCACACAGGTGTGAGCTAATGAGCATGCTGTATCAGTGGTTACTGTAGCGTGCCCAAGACATTTTCAGTTCTTTTCTGAGCTTATTACATGCATTTCACTTCCTTAGTTACATCAACGCTCACCTCCCCTTCTGCCTTGAATTAACTTAATTCCAAACATATACACTGTTTAAAAAAAAAAACAACATTGAACAATGGTTTTTGATTTTTTTGGCTGCATTTTACCATGACTTGGCTCCCTCTTCTGGAAACGGGCACAGTAGCAGAGTGAATAAAAATTCTTTATAGTTTCCAGTTTCCTGTCCAAATAAAGGGAGGAAAGGCTACAACTGGATGAAGGCTAAGCCCTGTGGTTACCACACATGCTTCCCCTCAGCTTCCACTTGTGCCAAAGCTTCTTGTGTTTGTTTTCTCTGTCGGTGGCAGGTCTATGCGACCGTGTGTGACTATGCCACGGGCCTTTTGGGGGAGATCTCTTTCCTCTGAGGAAGAAATGCTGAAGCAAATGACAAAGTATGATTTTATGATTTTTTTTTTTTATTATTACTTTTGCTTTTGTCAGCCCTGGTGACCTCCTTCTCCTGGTAATACCGTTAATCCCTCTTGATTCAAGTGGCTAACTGCTCTTTGGGGACCTGCAAAGCATCCCTGTTAGGAGAAGCAGGGGTGAGTTAGCTAAGCTTCGGTCTGCTAAAGGCTTAATTTTCATGAGCATTCTCAGGCTGCTGGCTGCAGGAGCAGCAGAGGGGAGCTGCCCCCCTGCACCTGCACCCTGTGCTTTTTGGTGCAGCCCAGAAGCACCGGTACCTTTCCCCAAGGCCATGTCCGACCTTGGCCGGGCTCTGCGGGAGCTCCTTCATCCTTTGCTGACCTGAAGTTTTGCAATGCCTGCATCCGTGCTGCTGTCGGTCACAGAATCACCTGAGCGGTGCCTTCCCAAAGCTCCTCCGCCTGCTCGTTCAGATTCCTGAAGCGAGTCACGAGTCCTCTTGTTTTGGACTGAGATAACCATCATTCTAATTATCCATTTCCATAAAGGAGTCTGCTTATCTCTCTCAGACACTTCCAGCAAGGCAACGGCTCTATCCAGCATAAATCAAGCTGTAACAATACTGATTCCTATTTATTTATCTCCTTACATTCTTTGGATGGGAATGTCATACTCAGTTCTAATCCTTAAAAAGCAGAGACGGATGCTTTTCTGCTGGCAAACCTAGGAAAGCCAGAGGGGCAAGGGGGCCGTCTCACCAACAGTGCATGAAGTTGTGCTTTCCAGGTACGGGAAGGAGAGGAGGGACCCTCTTTAGTCCCCTCCCTTAACCCCGCTCGGTTTTGCGGATGGGGGGGGTAAATATTTACCGGAGGAGGAGGAAAA